GAGGAAAGAGGATCGCTTGAGCCTAGGAGTTTGAGGCTACAGTGAGCTCTGATTACACCACTGCACTCCAATCTGGATGACAGAGCAGGATCCTGACTCTAAAAATAAAACAAAACAAAATAAAATACATTAAAACAAAGTCCAAGCCAGGTTTTAAGATTTTTAGTGCACTTCAGTTTGAACTGCTGTTTTTGATTGCCAGGAATACAGGCATTTGAGAATTGACTTTGTAATTTATAAAGCTAATTTTGTTAACTTAAAAGAAAATAAAGTGATTGAAAATATTGTGATAGAAGCCAGACACAAAAGACCACATATTGTATGACTCAATTTATATGCAATGTCCAGAATGGGCAATGTATAGAGACAGCAGATGAGTGGATGCTGGAGGTGGAGGAGTTGGGAGGAAATGGGGAGAGACGGCTGTGGGTAAAGGATTTCTTCGCAGAGTGATGAAATGTTCTAAAATAGAATCTGCTGAGTGTTACACAGCTTTGTGATTATACCAGAAACCACTGAATTGCACACTTTAAGTGGGTGGATTGTATAGTATGTGAATTATATCTCACTAAAGTGGTCAAGAAAGAAAGTAATTCAGGTGCCACAGATCTAATAATAGCAGGGATCATGGGGGCGAGATAAAAAGACTTGACAGCCCAGTGCCTTTGGCCAAAGGTATTTGCAGTGTTGAACCGGCAAGTAGATCGTACACAAAGAGAAGAAGATATACCACACGCACATGGAATAAAGGTAAACCCGACTTTAAAGCTTCTTCACCAGGCCCGATTTCACCTCCGAAGCCAAAATGTCTTTAGAGTCATGGAGATCCAGCTCATCGGGTTATGTTGGAGAGGCCTAAGGTCCCAGTGAGTTTTGGCAGAGCTTGAATGAAAAGCTGGAGTTCCAACCTCTTTCCTCTGTTCCCTGGTAGCAAGTTAGGTAACGTCTTCCCAGTTTCTTGGGGAGTCTTGAGTGTGTAAATACTTTGAACAGAAAGCTTTTTTAATTGAGCTAATTAATGGAATTGCCTTTTGGGACCAGAAAGTGCCCAATGAGTGTGCGCATCTGCTTTGCCCCTGCCCTGCTCTCCCTGCAGATGCTGCTGTGCCCCCTCTCCTCTGCCTGGGGGGTGGGGATCAGCCCTCTGGATCCTGCCCTCGCCCTTTCCATCCCCTCTGAGGTCAGCTAGGCTCAGTGGGCTGGAATTCACACAAGGGCCCATACGGACACATATCTGTATTGTGCCCACTCCTTGTGATTGGGGTCACAGTGATGAGGACCCTCCCTTCCCCCTCTGTGGCCATGGATCATGTGATATGTCTGTGAGCTCAAGGTGCCCCAGACCACTCTCTGACTTGGGGAGGGAGTCCTGTTGGACCCCCATCCCAACAGGGCACTCAGGCTGCTGTTTGCTCATCCAGCTGGTGCTCAAGGCACTGGGCCCAGACCTAGATCCTCATTTGCAAACGGAACCCAGAGGTCGAGCTTGTTAAGCCCTGGACTCTGCCACCCAGGCCAGCTAGATAGGCTGTGGAATGACCCTGAGGGCTGCAGAAAAGTCAGCACTTGGGAAAGAAACCATAGGGAAAATGACCAGACAGAGAACCCAGGTTGATGAGGTACGAAATCAGTGTGGTGATGACATTTTGTTGCCTTCAAGGTGGAAGGAATTAGCTTTTATTTCATGTCTGAGCCAAAAAGCAACCTTGGTCCAGGTTAATAAGCAGAAGAGAAGTGGTGTTGACACATGTATAAGGAAATTAGACATAAAACAGTGTTACTGACCTTCGGAATCCCTGAAGGAGCAAAGAACCCCCTTCAGAGGAGCCATAGAACCTATCCCACTTCCTCTCATTGCCCTTGCTAGGTTTTCTCCAAGATGAATGAAAATTAATTTCTCATTCAATTTCATTCTCTTCCAATTGTATTAATACAATAGTAACATTAGGAAATTACTTACTTTAATACATACTAATTAAAGTTGTCAGTATGGATTTTGTTTTATTATTATTATTTTTCAATTATTACCTTTTATTTTTTTTTTTGAGATGGAGTCTCACTCTGTCGCCCAGGCTGGAGTGTGTGGCACGATCTTGGCTCATTGCAACCTCCACCTCCTGGGTTCCAGTGATTCTCCTGCCTCAGCCTCCCAAGTAGCTGGGATTACAGGCCCCACCATCACACCTAGCCAATTTTGTATTTTTAGTAGAGATGGGGTTTCACCATGTTGGCCAGGCTGGTCTTGAACTCCTGACCTCAGGTCATCCACCCACCTCGGCCTCCCAAAGTGTTGGGATTACAGGCGTGAGCCACCATGCCTGGCTGATTTTTATTTTTATTTTTTGAGATGAGGTTCTCACTCTGTCGTCCAGGCTGGAGTGTAGTAGCGCCATGCCATCGTGGCTCACTGCAGCCTCGACTTCCCAGGCTGATGCAATCCTCTCACCTCAGCCTCCTGGGTAGCTGGGACTACAGGTGTGTGCCACCATGCCTGGCTATTTTTTTTTCTCTAAGAGACAGGGTTTTGCCATGTTGCCCAGGCTGGTCTGAAACTCCTGGGTTCAAGCAGGTGCTTCTACCTCAACCTCCCAAAGTGCTAGGATTATAGGCATGAGCCACTGTGTCTGGCCTAAAGTTGTTAGTATGGATTTTAAATGTCTTACAGAGCTTCCACTAGAACTGTGACTGCATGGAATAACGATGGCATTTTACTGCAATTGTATACGTTTCTGTTAAAAGGCTGGGTAGATTTCAGTGAGAGCTTGGAAACTGAATCATGACTTACGGCTTTAATATGTGGGTCAGGGCTTTTAAGTTCCAGTGACTGGCTAACATAGGAAACTTTTTTTCTTTTTTTTTTTGAGATGGAGTCTCACTCTGTCACCAGGCTGCAGTGCAGTGGCACAATCTTGGCTCACTGCAACCTCTACCTCCTGGGTTCAAGCAATTCTCCTGCCTCAACCTCCCAAGTACCTGGAACTACAAGCGAGCACCACCACGCCCAGCTAATTTTTGTACTTTTAGTAGAGACAGGGTTTCACCATGTTGGCCAGAATGGTCTCAATCTCTTGACATCATGATCTGCCCGCCTCAGCCTCCCAAAGTGCTGGGATTACAGGCATGAGCCACTGCACCCGGCCCATACAAGGAAACATTTTAAACACAATTTTTATTAGTGCCATCCTATGCCTTGTAGACTTTAAGGGATAACACAGTTATGGAGTGACAAGTAACTAGAGCCTGTAAGAGACTAAAGCCTCACTGATGTGATGCCTGCCTGATATTATTCCCCATTTTGGTTATTATGACATTGTAGGAAAACTTATCAAATTATATCTTTGAGAAGTGCCTAACTTAACATTTCTATAGGTGTAGATGCCCCTGACCCAGGTGCAGACCCACCGGCTAGCAGTTTGAACGGCATCTGCCTGGACGTTCCTGCTCGGCTGAGCATCCGCATTCTCATCTCGGATGCTGGTGCAGTGGAAGGGATTACTCAGCAGGAGATACTTGGCGTAGAGACAAGGTATGATCACATCTTGGATCACTGTAGTTTAGAGAGAGTCAGGAAAGTTGAGAGTGTTCCGAACAATAGGGAAACGTTTGTTTAGAAACTGATTATTTATTTATAACTTGCAATTATTAGCAAGATGTTTATATGGGCATATGGAATATGTATGAACTATGTGTATAATGGAGACTTATTCTCACAAGTATTTATAAAGCCATGTGTAAGAGAGTCTGCAAGGTATTTTAGGGAGTACAAAGATGAATAAAGGGCTACTTATTGCTAAGTACATTTTGAAATCCATGAATGTAACTGATATGCTGGTCAGATAATATTGTCTGTGGTTAGAGACTTTGGCAGCAGATAGGTTCAAATCACGGCTGTCCCACTTAGGAGCTGTGCGGCACTGGCCAATTACTTAACCTTTCTGAGCTGTAGTTTCCTCCTCTGTAATATGGTGATAATACCTTTATGTAACAACCCTCTATCAGATTTTTTTTTTTTTTTTTTTTTTTGAGATGGAGTCTTGCTCTGTCTCCAGGCTGGAGTGCAGTGGCAATATCTCTGGTCACTGCAACCTCCGACTCTGTGGTTCAAGTGATTCTCCTGCCTCAGCCTCCCGAGTAGCTGGGATTACAGGCATGCGCCACCACATCCAGCTAATTTTTGTATTTTTAGTAAAGACAGGGTTTCACCCTGTTGGCCAGGATGGTCTCAATCTCCTGACCTCGTGATCCACCCGCCTTGGCCTCCCAAAGTGCTGGTATTACAGGCGTGAGCCACCATGCCCAGCCTGCCTCCATCAGTTTTAAGTGACAGGTGCCCAGTTCATACTGACTTAGGCAAAAAGGGGAATTTATTGGTTCAAGTTCAGAGTAATCCACATACAGCTAGTTCATGGTTCCTGGTTCCAGTGTGGTCAGGGATCTTTTTGTTTTCGTGTCTCAGCTCCTCTTCCTTTGGGTTGGCTTCATTCTCAGGGAGGTTCTCCTCAAGAGATGGCAAAGATGGGCACTAGCAATCCAGGCTGATGTCACTGCAGCAAGTCCAGTGGGGAGAAAGCCTCTTTCCTCCTCTTTTCTTTTCTTCTTTCTTTCTCTCTCTCTTTCTTTCTTTCTCTCTCTCTCTCTTTCTTTCTCTCTCTCTCTCTCTCTTTCTTTCTTTCTCTCTCTCTCTTTCTTTCTTTCTCTCTCTCTTTCTTTCTTTCTTTTTTTCTCTCTCTCTCTCCCTTTCTCTCTCTCTCTCTCTCTCTTTCTCTCTCTCCCTCTCTCTCTCTCTCTCTCTCTTTCTCTCTCTCTCTCTCTCTCTCTCTTTCTTTCTTTCTTTCTTTTTTTTTTGAGACGAAGTTTAGTTCTTGTTGCCCAGGCTGGAGTGCAGTGGCGCCATGTCGGCTCTCCGCAACCTCTACCTCCTGGGTTCAAGCTATTCTCTTGCCTCAGCCTCCTGAGTAGCTGGGGTTACAGGCATGCGGCACCACGCCCAGCTAATTTTGTATTTTTAGTAGAGATGGGGTTTCTCCATGTTGATCAGGCTGGTCTTAAACTCCCGACCTCAGGTGATCTGCCCACCTCAGCCTCCCAAAGTGCTGGGATTCCAGGCATGAGCCACCAGGCCCGGCCCCTCCTCTTTCTCAAAATAGATCTGGGCAGACTTTCATTGGTTCAGTTTGGGTCATGTGCTCCTTTCTGAACCAATCCCTATGACTGGGGCAATGGGCAGCTCTTATTGGCTAGGCTCAGGTGATGGGTGCACCTCTGGATTAGGACCAGTCCCTTCTGGTCCGCTGAACTGGGAATGGAGAGTGGTGACTCTGCAAGGGAAAATGGGAGTGCAGTTACCACCTTCGCAGTACTCTTTTGAGGATAACACGAGATGGTGTGTTGCAAGCAAGTTATCTCTGTGCCTCGAACGTGGAAAGCCCTCAATAAGTGGCTAGCTGCTGCTTTTATTATTATATCGTTTGAGAAAAACAGGTGATGAACAAAGGTACCTTTGATAGCACCTGTATAAAATGCACTGGCTGGAGAGGAGTGAGACTGACAGGACTGGCAGATGTCACCGGGCGACAGGCCCATGAGGGGTTATTAGGAGTTTCTCTTCTCCTTGGATCTGTCTGTCGAAATGGACAAAGACAATGGACAAATACAAAGAAAAAACAGCACAGGTAGAATGTGAAACTTCTTAAGAGAACCTCAGGTTGTATTGTGATTGCATCTGTTACCTGCTGTTCTTGGTGGAATAGAACTGAATGGTGGCTATGCTGACCATGTGATCTTTCCCTCCTAGGTTCTCCTCAGTGAACTGGCAGTACCAGTGTGGGCTTACCTGTGATCACAAGGCCGACCTTCTCCCTATCAGTGCATCTGTCCAGTTTATTAAAATTCCTGCACAGTTACCCCGCCCCCTGACAAGGTACTCCAGTTGGTCACCTAGTTGACATTAGGAAGCAGAAAAATATATATTTGAAAATTGGAAGTTTATTCCTTTAATCAAGTTCTGATACTTTTCACTTGTAGTTTTTGTAATCCTCTAAAATGTTTTCTAGATTCCAGATCAATTATACAGAGTATGACTGCAACAGAAATGAGGTGTGTTGGCCGCAGCTTCTATATCCATGGACTCAGTATTATCAAGGTAGGGTGAAACAGATTTCTATGACCAATTATGTTATGTCAATTTTAAAAACAATTTAAAATGATGTCTAAATGTTACAGAAAGCGTAAAACATATAGAAACTTAAAAAAATTTACAGATAATATTGCCACAGTGATCACCATTACTGTTGAGGCTTAGTTTATTTCTACCTACACTGTTTTTTTTTAGACAGAGTCTTTCTGTGTCACCCTGGCTGGAGTGCAGTGGCAGAATCTCAGCTCACTGCAACCATTGCCTCCTGGGTTCAGATGATTCTCATGCCTCAGCCTCTGGAGTAGCTGGGATTACAGCACCAACACACTGGGCTATTTTTGTATTTTTAGTAGAGACGGGGTTTCACCATGTTGGCCAGGCTGGTCTCGAACTAGCTTCAAGTGATCTGCCTTCCTTGGCCTCCCAAAGTGTTAGGATTGCAAGAGTGAGCCACCACGCCCAGCCTATACCTACACTGCTATCACAAGAGTTAAGAAATACTGCTGCTTAATTTTGTCCATTGTTTTTCAGGGGAGCCGCATTCTCAATGTGTTGCCAAGGGCTTACTGTTGCTGTTGTTCCTCACATTGGCCATGTTTCTCAGCAACCCCTGGACCAGAATATGCAAAGCCTATAGTTAGACAACCACCTGGCCTTTTTTTTTTTTTTTTTTTTTGAGATGGAGTTTTGCTCTTGTTGCCTAGGCTAGAGTGCAATGGCGTGATCTCAGCTCACCGCAACCTCCTCCTCCTGGGTTCAAGCGATTCTCCTGCCTCAGCCTCCGGAGAGTTGGGATTACAGGCACGTACCACCATGCCTGGCTAATTTTGTATTTTTAGTAGAGACAGGGTTCCACCATATTGGCCAGGCTGCTCTCGAACTCCTGACCTCGTGATCCACCCATCTCAGCCTCCCAAAGTGCTGAGATTACTGGCATGAGCCACCGCACCCGGCCTTTTTTGTTTTTGTTTTTGTTTTTTTGAGACAGGGTCTCACTCTGTCACCCAGGCTGGAGTGCAGTGCACAATCTCAGCTCACTGCAATCTCTGCCTCCCAAGCAATCTTCCCACCTCAGCCTCCGGTGTAGCTGGGACCACAGATTCTCTACCACGCCTGGCTATATTTTTGGTAAAGACGGGGTTTCGCCATGTTGTCCAGGCTGGTCTGTAACTCCTGAGCTCAAATGATCTGCCCACCTCGGCCTCCCAAAGTGCTGGGATCACAGATGTGAGCCACTGTGTCCGGTCCATCTGACTTCTCAAAGACTTTAGACCTTGACTTCAGTGATTTGTTGTAGTCTTGTATGCTTCTCTGTAAAATTTTAATAAATGAAATGTCTTATTTTTGCAGAAAATGTTTATTAAGTGCCCTGTGACTTTAATTCATATATGTAGCTATCCGATGCAGAATGAATATTCTCATCACTGGCCTGACTGAGTAAAATGCATGAGAAGAACTCAAGAAATGTTAGAAATTCTAGCTTATCACAAATTAGTTAAAGTCATAGGAGTTTTATTTATACCAGAGAGGAACAGTCTTTTCTTTAGTTTTTAATACATTCGTGTTGATTGATGTTTCCCATATTCCATAGAAAGGATTAAGAAATTCTTAAAAATGTATATAATACAAAAACACAAAATAATTGATGGGGAAAGATGTGGGCACTGCAGGAGGAAAATAAGAGAAAAGTAAAACAAAACCAGGGGCACATGAAAGCGCCCAAAATATATGCCAAAGGTTGTATTTAGCAGAAGCATACCCCTAATTCATTATTTATTTATTTATTTTTTAGAGACAGGTTCTCCCTCTGTTGCCCAGTCTGGAGTGCAGTGGCATGATCACAGCTCACTGTAAACTCAAACACCTGGGTTCAAGCGAGTCTCCCCAGGTAGCTGGGACTACAGGTGTGTGTGCTACCACACCTGGCTAATTTTTTTTTTTTTTTTAGTAGAGACAGGGGTCTCGCTATGTTGCCTGGCCTGGTCTCAAACTCCTGGCTTTAGCAGTCCTCCCACCTAAGCCTCCCAAAGTGCTGGGATTACCAGCAGGAGCCACCATGCCCAGCCAAGACCCCAGTTTACAAAAAACGAAGTATGATTAGCTATAGGAATTATGAAATCTATTCATTAAAAATTAACTGGTTATCAATGAAGGACAGTTTTTCCTAGCTGAGTCTAGGAATTTCTCCCATGGGCCGTCACATGGGGACAGTCAACCCCACTCAGTGGGAAGAATGGATTTTTTTTTTTTTTTTTTT